GAAACTGAGAATCAAATCAGCAATTTGGAATATGAAAAGGAAAAAAACACCTAATCAGAATAGCAAAAGGAAAATAAATAAATAAATAAATAAAATAAGGAGCATCTAGGACAACTTAAAGTGTGCCAACATTCACATCATGGGTGTTCAGGAAGGAGAATAGAGACAGCAAGAAATTGAAAATCTATTTGAAAAAATAATGAAGGAAAACTTCACTAACATGATGAAAGAAATTGACATACAAATCCAGGAAGTACAGAGCATCCAGAACAAGATGAACCCAAAGAGACCCACCAAGACACATCATAATTAAATTGACAAAGGTTAAAGATAAAAACAGAATCTTAAAAGTAGCAAGAGAAAAGCAATCCTTTGCCTACAAAGGAGCTCCCATAATACTGTCAAATTATTTCTCAATAGAAACCTTACAGGCTAGAGTGGATGGGCAAGAAATATCCCAAGTGCTGAAAATCAAAGACTGTAACTAAGATTAGTCTATCCAGAAAAACTATCATTTAGAATCGGAGGACATATAAAGTGCTTCTTACATAAGAAAGCACTAAAGGAGTTCATCACTACAAAATAAGTATTAAGGAAAATATTAAAGGATCTTTTTTAAGATGAAGAAGAAAAAAGATAAAAATACCTGAACAATAAAATGATAATAAATACTTATCAAAAATTGACTCTAAAATAACAGAATAAATGACCAAGCAGAAGAGAAACAACAGACACATAGATATAGAAAACATTTTGACAGTTTCTAGATGGAAGGGGGGTTAGGGATGGGTGAAAAAGGTGAAATAATTAGGAAGTACAAACTGGTTGTTACAGAATAGTCATGGGGATGTAAAGTACAGCACAGGGGATACAGTTAATAATATTATATTATTTTTTTAAAATCCTCATCTGAGGATTTTTTATTCTATTGCTTTTAGAGAGAGTAGAAGAGGGAGGAGGAGAGGATAAGAGAGAAAGAAAAAGAAACATCAACGTGAGATGGATCCATTGATTGGTTGATTCCCACATACTCCCTGACCAGGGCCAGAGATGAACCTGCAACTTAGGTACATGCCCTTGACCAGAATTGAGCCTGAATTTGTTTGGTGCTCAGGCCAATGCTCTAACCACTGAGAAACACCAGCTAGGGCTCAATGATCTACACTAATAAAAGAGAAACATGGTAATTGGCGTACGACTGCTACCCTTCCCATTGGCTAATCAGTGAGATATGCAAAT